ACACACACAGTATGTAAATGTTTTGACAGTTACTCCAACTTTACAGATCTCCAAAAGCTACGCAAGGATAGTGTCCAGTTCTTTTCTTTGTATCTGGGCAGGTTCTACCTAATGACAATGGCTTCTAATACAAGTTCGGGTGAACTCCAGGATTCCACGAGGCAGCTCCAAGGTTTACCTGATGGATGTGATGGCCAAGGCAGCCATGTTTAATTTGTGGCTGCCCCTGACCAGGTCTTTTGAGTTCTAGGTATAAATGAAAACCATTCCTATTAATCAAGGAGAGGTTTGTCATCTCTGAAGAACACTCTGACATCCTGAGGGTTGACACACAGGTGTGCCCCTAGCGAGCTTCTTTAGGGGGTTCCCTGCCTTCCAGAGAAATAAATCCATAATTAAAAGCCAGTTCCTCTACTGCTCTCCTTGTCTTCCCAAGAGAGGTGGACAGTAAAGGAAAGGAAAAGTAATGGTTTCACCAGCTCTCGCTCTTGAAAAACAAAGATTCTACCATGTCAGGGTCCATTATACATAAAGGGTTAGTGCACATTTAACCCACTGTTCATCTAAATTTGTTAATAATTCCCAGGAAAGGAGATGGCACCAACTAACCCTGTAACCCACTTCTTGATGATTAGTACCTTTGACTCTGCTAGAATTCCAAACCTGTCATTAAAACTCAGATAAAATGCTGAAAATGGTGGCATCATTTTAATATCCTCACTTTAGTACAACAGGGCTGGAAAAACAATCCTTTCATAAAAAATAAGTTTAAATAATGAACCTCAAGCATTAATTAGAACTCTCAATAAGCCATCCAACTTCTCCGGGGGTATCTCTGGATTTCCTAAATTCCTCTTGACCGCCCAGCATTAAATGAAGAGAATGAGACAATAATGTTTGAAGGTAAGAAGTCTGGACCTACAATATCTAATTAAATCTTCAGTACTAGCCACTGGTTGGTGAGACGTTGGGTAATTCATGTTTCTAAGCCCAGGTTCAAGGGCGATAGCACTCAAGGTGTTCAGAGGATTAAATGAGATAATGCAAGTGAAACTAATCCCACAGTAAGACGCACATAGTATGCACAAAATAAGATTTTAGGAAACTGGTTTGATTAGAGACAAGTTTCCATCAAATTTTCAGTAATGACATATAATGCAGAATCTCCCGTTTTCTGGTAAAGCTCACCCGAGGACACAACACAAGGATTTTTTTGCTCTGGGCTGAAACCGAACCTGGGACCCTTCCGTCTGCAGGCCAGTGCTCTAACCACTGCGCCAAATCGGCCAGGGCGGAAAGCGCCTGTGTTTGTAAACGTCAAAAGGTTTAAGCAACGCATTCACTTAAACACACAAACCAGCCCACAGTCTTTGACGGCTAGAGCAGGTTATTATTTGAAATTGTGCTTCGAATGGAAAACCCTGCGGGCTGACGCCGCCGGGAGCCCTGGGCAGGGCTGGGAGGGCGCGCGGCGTTTCCTCAGGGGCGGGCGCCGCACACCTGTTTCCTGCGGGGGAGGAAGCCTCCCCTTCCCTCCCCGGGACCACGCGGGTCGCGGTCGGACTCCGAGAGAAACGGGCGTCCCTGTGCGAGATTCGCGGTGGCCGGGGCCCGCGCGGAAGGGGACATAATAGTCCGCAAGGAGCAGCGGCGCCGACAGTGACCCCAGCTCCCTCCACGCACGGACCCCGCCCTCGCCGACTGAGCGTGGGTTTGG